GGTCCAGAGCTCAGATAAACAATGAGAGTGAAAGAAAAAGAGAGGAAAAAGTGAGAGGGAAGGGTTCCTTTTATACCGACCTTGTTCACGCCTCTTATGTAAATTAGATTTTCTGTGCTGTTTTGTTCACACAAGCCCAGCCATCCCTTCTCCAGGAAGGAAGCATGGGGAACACTGAGCACGAGCCTCAAAGTGGAGCAGGAAGTTGTCTCAGAACAGCTCAGGATTAAAGGGTGGGCTCAGTTCTGCGCACACTGTGTCTCACCTAAAAAATCCAATGCGCAGGCTGGAAGGTGGAAAGACCTTCCCCGGTTCTTCGTTCGCGAAGAGACTGGCCATATAACTAGTGGCTTTGCCCGCTGCTGCACATCTATGCTGTTTGCTGTCTGTCAGGTGAGAGATAATTTCTTCTCACCCCTTTGCCCTTCTCTTAACATGACTGATTTTGGTCCATGAATGAAGTTAGCATACCACCCGCACGGTAAGATTAATAGCTGTTGTGTGAAGGAATGCTCTTTGTTCCAAGCCCTGCCTGAAAAGTTTTCTCTCTGTCAGTCTGAGCAGAGACCCAGAGACAACCCTGAAAGCAGCCCCTCATCTCTGGCAGTTTAGAGGGGTGCAATGCAAACATGAAAGAACATAACTGCTGGATACAACTAATTGCTTTAATGAGAACATGTCCTTGGGGTTTATGACAAACAAATTCCAGTTGCTTTATTGCATTGTGTCTGGATTTCCCCTGTCGTTTCAGTTGGACACAGCACACTGTTGGATCATGCCTGGAGAAGGAAGTTGTTTGTGAATCTCTGGCAAGATGTCCACACAATGAAAATTTGAGAATACTGGTAGGGTAGCCAACCAACTGTCCCCAGTAGTAGAGACGCTCCTCCTGAGGGAAAGCCAGTGAGCCAGAGCCCAGCTGTGAGGGTTAGCCTGCGTCTGGGGAAGGACAGGGAGGTAGCAGAGCAACCTGAGCTGAGAGGGAAGACCTGACCTGCACCAAGCTAAGTTGCTGCCATTTCCAGAAGTGTCTCTCCCCTTGCTCCCTACACCCACTGGTGCTCACACCGGCACTTCCCAGCACTGGTCCAATGTGGCTGCCTGGGGCCTCAGCTCAGCCTCTGGTCCTGGATGAGAGGTAACCCAGCCAAAAACAGGACAGCATTTTCACCCAGGCCCACCAGCTGATGAGATCTAGCACACAGCTAGTGGTCCTTGGTCTGGAGGGAAGGCTGGCAAGGGAGGCTGTGGGGTGAGCCCTGAGTTTGCTTGCACTGACTGAAAAAAACCATCTCCAGCCAGGAATGCTAAACTGAGTGGTGTTAAACCAAGACCAAGAGCACCATAATTCTCACATCTGTGACTTTAGTCCAGTAGCATAAAATAGCACTTTTCCCTCCAGACACACAAATGAGTGTAAAACAATATTTTAACTTATTAAGACAGAAACTTCCAATGTACATCCTAATGGAATCAACTTCTGTGAAGCACTCAGATAATTTTCACACTAAATATTTGTCTTGGGCCAAAAATACAACAAAGTCTTTAATGGTAAAAGGATATTTAATTTCCCTAAAACAGAACAGCCATGCTATTTGGATTAGTAACTACTACATTATAATTTTTTAGGTGAAAAACTCCCTTGCAGTAGCTATCATTATTACTTTCACCAAATTAGAAATCAGGTTGGATCTACTTCCCATCCTTAATTCACCTTTATCAGCATGATATCCTATCAATAAGATGTTAGAAATCATAAGCAGTGACCCATCACAAGGAAATGTGTGACTTGAAAATTTTAAAATGATACTTTAAAAGGCTTCTGAATTCTGATTGTGTCATTGCAAATTACAAGAATGGCAGTAATAAGAATAAAGTCCAAAAGCAGAGAGAAGAGGAGCTGAATTGCAGTATTTCCAGCCATTGTCAATTATAAATATATTCTGTCAGTCATGCTTCCAATTGTTAGATAATGGAATTGATCTAATAATTACATAAATTATTAGATATCAATCAACTAATTTTACAGGTTCATCATTTGAGCACCTAAAACTCCTAAGTTTCTTAAAAAGACTCTAGGGCTTAACAAAAAAGTCAAACAGACAAATTCAGTGTTGTTGAAGTTAAGTTCTTATACAGATCCCTCTCCCAGACACTACAACTCAGTACTGCTGAGAACTCCAAAGAGAAGTCAGCTTCACTCCAGAAGCTTTTATTCTAATTTCAAGAATCTTGCTCCAAGTCAGATAGATTGTATAAACCAAGAAGTTTTCCTCCACTCTTTGTATCCTGGGTTACAGAAAATTCTGGTATCCACCTCTTCTATTTTCCCCAAATATGCCTTTTTTTGCTTTTTGGTGTTTTGTCTTCTTTAAAGAGTCTGAACTGCTAGTGGTGAATGACTCTAGCACTCATTCGACCACCTGTAGTGCCTGCCCAGGTGTTGTAACCATTGGACTGTGGGTGCTGATGGCTCTGTCAGCAGCGTGCCTTCCTAACAACATGCAGAGTGGCCACCCTACCTTCAGCTCAGAGGAGCTGAAGACCTGCACACCCTACACCTCAGGCTACAAGCTGGGTCTTCAACAAGATACGGAAAGGGGCAAATCCTGCGAGGTGAGGTAGCGTTTCTTTTTCCTTACACAGATGACTCAGCTGTGATAACTCCCTGGAACATTCACACCCAGCCTGAAGGTTTTCACCTCTTGCTGATTAGACATAATGGGCCATAATGGACTCAGCTGCACTAATGTCTAAGAAAGCTACAACATCTCACAAGGTGTCAACGACTCCTGAAGCACCCCATGACTTACAGTGTTACATCATCCAGTGTAAAACTCCCTGCCCCAGGGGAGGCGTTCCCACCTGAACCTGAGTATATACAACTCTCAGTTTTGGGAATTCCTTCACTCATCTGGCACTTTCACCACCTCCTTGATGGATCAGGAGTGTGACCACCACTTTGACCAATGAACATTGAAGCTGCAACCATTATGCCCTGTTGGTGGATCCAAGGGGTGTCTTGCAGGTCCTTCCAGTCACCTGCGGGATCCAAAGCCCTGCTCTGACTGCCTGTAACATCATCACAGTCTCACTCCAGTGCTACACGTCTGCTGGTATCCAGTCCCAGCTATCTGCCATTTCCTGCCAGCACTAACTCCTCAACCGTTTCTGCCAGGTTTTCCAGGCATGGGGGAGGTGAACCACGTGGAAGTGCATCGTTTCTCTCCTGCAGACACGTGTGTTTTTCCAGGTGTGGGAGGCACCAGCTGCCATCTCGATTGGGTCCAGTGGAGGGCCCTGGGAAGTTTCTCCTCACTGTTTGGTTTAACCCAGTTTTATCAGTATTGTTATTAGTATTCTTCTTGGTAAAGAGTTATTTTCTTTATTTACATCTGGGAGTATTTGGTCTCTCTGTATTGGAGAAACCAGGGGTTTTGAATCCGAGTGAGACTTCTGTTTGAGGTCTCTGCTTCCCCAAGTTGTCTCAAACCAAGACACTTCGTTACATGCTATTTCTCCCTGTTTTACATAAGCTATACCAGAAACTTGTTTCTCACAGTATTTGTTGAGTCAATAGCCAAGTACAGCCCAATGCTACCAAATTCCAATTCCCCATGCCAATTTCTAGGAAAATTAGTGTCATTAGTATTTAAATCCTCTGCCTGCTGAGGACAGAGGAGCCTTCATCCAATATTCCAAAGGGATAAGCAGTCTTGACCGCTCAGTTACAGCATCTGCTGCTCTGCTATTGCCATGGCCACGCTCTGTGCCGTGCCAGTGTGAGGTGCAGACAGGTAAAGCAGATGTTTAGCAGTGTCAGTAGAGCACCTTGCTTTGCCATCTAGTGGGCACTGGGACTCTGGGTGCCTCCTGCCCTGGGCTGCTGGCAGTATGTCTGATGGACATCTCCAGTGGCAAGCTAAGTTTTGATATACCTCCCTGATTTTAGTCAGAGGCTAATTTAGAAGCACCAAAGTTGTGATGATTCAGGCACAACTACTTTGCCCTTGTGCCCTGGGTTTGGTTTCTGTATGCCCAAATAGGAAATACAATGTAAAGCTTTGCCACTGGCTGTTATGGCAACTCACCTTCTATCCCCCCCGTGCAGAGTGGCTGAGTCTAAAAGTGTTCTGGACATAGTGCAAGTTATCTAAATGAACACAGCTGAAGTGTCATTTCAGTCACACCATCTGTCTGGAGCCTTGCCCACCTGACTCCTGCTTGCTTTTCCCCATTTTCAAATAGGAATGGCTCATATTGGCTTTTCTCCATGATCTCTGTGCCCCATCTGTGTTGCTTCTTAGCACAAAACTAGCAAAGGCCTTTGCAACCTAAGTAATGCTTTGCAAAACCAGAAAGGAGAAAAACATGACCTGCCTCACTCACTCAAAAAACCAAAAAAAAACCCAAAAACCCCACAAAAAACCCCAAACACCAAAAAAAAAAAAACGGCCTTCACATTTCTGCCTGATGTTAACAGAGCACATCAAAGCATGCCTCAAAATAGAAAGCTATCTCATTGTAATTCAGCTGAATTCTTCTCAGTGGTCTCCAAAATAAGGAAAAAACCCTACCTATTAAGATCTTCATTTTACCAATATATAAAGTATTAATATAAGTGGCACAGGACGAGGGTCATTAAAAACACAGGAACTCTGACAGATGATAAAGGATGACAGAGGAGTAATTCTATTTTATCTGTACAGGTTTTGTTAATTGGGTGATAGAATAATAACCTTCATGACATGCTCATTTGTTAGACTGGAAAAGGTTTGGGCTCAATCATAAAACTGTCCTGACATCTGACACCTCTAAGAAGACAATTTATGAGATCAGCTCAGCACCTGATACATCCTTATGTAACTCTACAAGCAACAAGAGGATTCTGTGGTCTCATATAAATGTATGTGAATTGACATTTACCAATGCAACAAGATGCTCCGAATTCACTATGGGCAAGAGCTCCTGTGTAGTTTGCCAACTAATATGTTCCTTACCTGGCTTTGCAATAGAAGGACATGCAGGGAAGGTATTCCAGTGCTCAAATCACTGATGAGAGCTCTGCCAGCTGCCAATGAGCCACAGCTGCAAGCCTGAAACAAACCATTTGTGTAGTGGTTAGGGTGATTATTTCTGTCATGAAGAAAGTTTTACATTATGCAAATGTGCAAAGCTGTGCAATAACTCTTCATGTGGCTGTTTAGAGGGACAAACCCAGAAGAATGAAAGAAGCTGCATCATCTCACTCAGTCAGCCCCACGTATGCAGCCATTTGGCAGGTCCTGTTCCTCTGCCATGCTCAGCCCAAGGGCAGAGAAGGTAGATAGCAGAATTCTGGGAGCATGGGCTATGCTTTACTTCGAGTCCTTTAAATCCTTGCTAGTTCCACTGGTTTTGGTGGAAACCAAAAAGCATTAATAGGATAGAGCTGTAAGCATTAATAGGATAGAGCTCATGCTGTAAAAACATTCCTGTGTATTCAAATAGCGTTTCTCAAGGCACTGCACACATCACTCCGCTATTACACTGATTCTTACAGCAATCTTTGCTATCTATCCAATTGTTAAGTGCTGCACATTTTAGGAATAATGCATTTTCCACGCATCACGTGCTGTGACTGCACCTGATGGTGACATCCTGAAGCACTCGTGGGCACAGTGCCAGCATAACTGTCCTAGAAGTTGCAGGGCCAGTGTCTGAGAGCTAAAAAAAACATATTTCAGTATCACAGGGTCTCTTTCTCTACAAGCCCCAGTTCCAGTTATTTCATTGCAGTGAAAGGTGTGCAGAGACTGTACAAATTTAGATAAAAAGTCATTTGGGCAACAGAAGGCACGTATTGCCAAATTCTACCTAGGAGTGCTACAATGTGAAATACAATCTTTGCATATATTATATAAAGGCCACTGACTTGTAGATGTGTGTGGCACTTTTATCACTTCCAACAGAATCATAAAAAACCCAACCCTATGCTTGTACATACAGGCAATGTATTTAACAGAATACATGGCCTTTCATAAAGTTGCGTATTTAAGCTATCGTAGTTCTCTATTAGTGAACAATATTTAGAAGAAGTTGGTTTGAGAGTGCACAAAGCCTCATTCTTTCCCAAACTATAAATATTTCAGCATTTCAACATCAAAAATAAACGAGAATTTTGATTCAGCAAGGTAGTGACAGGCACTTCTAAGTGCTGAAGTACTGGATAGTGCTTATGTCTCTTTGTCTTCAGTAAGGTCTGGGAGCAGCAGCTACAGCTCAAAGACTCTGCTAAGGACTGTCCTTCCAGTCTTGGAAAAGCCAATTGCACAACTCCCCCATACATCAATACTAAAAACAACAGGAAGCCAGAACCCCAGGCCAGCTGCAAAGCTGATCCAAACCCTGCACATGGGTAAACAGGTTTCCCAAGAGTAACAGCAAACACAAGGGTGATGTCCAGGGACTGCTTGTTTTTAGCACTGAGAGCACAACTGCCAAACAACAGAAACAATAACGGAACAGGGGCTTGGAGATGAAGCTATGGCATTCCCTTCCTGGGAAACACTTTCGTTGGTCTGGAGAGTTCTGCTCTGCTGAATACCATGGCATAGCTTCCACACAAGAGCAAGAAAACACTTCACTTTGCTAGCTGACCTGCTGGTCTGATGGCAGCACATCCTCTGAGGATATGGGAAACGTGGTTTTGATTTCCTTCACTTTTCAAAGAGAAAGTCCCTGTGTGTGCTTCTGCAGAGCAAAGACATTCGCAGATCCACACAATTCTGAAATTCAAACATCATATAATTTCTTATTGATACCTGATTAGCTCTCGAGACACCAGATACAAAATGAGATTTCTAGGGAAACCATTTTTTTCTTGATTTATGCACAGAATTTTACTGGCTTGGGAAACATAACACAAGGAAAAGATAGCAAAGTGACTTGATTACTTAGAAAAAACTAATTTCTCCAACAGCAAGTTTCCCTATCATTCTGTTAGAAGTTGAATATCTGATATAAACAATGCAAGAACCTCACTTGTTCAGAGCATAACAATCTGAACTCCAAAGGACACTCACAAAGTTCAAAATTAAATACATGGTGGCTGCAGAGAAAGCAAGGCTCATACACTACACATTACAGGAAACTGTTCTTCATGCCACAGTACATAGGAATGGAAATAGTAGGCTTAAAGAGCAGTAAGAAAGACAGGACACTAGGAAAAACTGGACTAGATTGCTTGGATAAGTAATGCAGCCTCTGCTGATTTAAGAATAAGCATCTCTGCATCTTTAAGAATAAGGTGAACAAATTTCTCAGGATATAAGTGAACTTGAGCCAAACTTGGGTACTGGAAGAGGCTAGAGAGTTTTTCAGGGATCCTTGCCTAGTAAGGACACTGAGGACTGAGTAAAATGTGCTTTGGTTGTGGAAAGGGCACTTGGAAACACACTGGCCTCGGATGGCCACGAATGTAATGCCAAACCCCCAAGTTCATGACTCAGGGGAAACTGTATCTCATTAAGACTTCTTTCACCAATCTGTAGTCATGGAGACATGAAACTGTTGGATTATTCATAATTTCTCTGAAAACATTTGCAGTCTTACCTTTCCTACAAACACAGCACAGTCCACAACTCCACAGTCCATGGCTGCCTGGAGCTGGGAATGCTCCAGGCCTCAGGAAGGGTATTCACATCCCGATGCCCACAGCAGGATCACGCTGGGATGCGACAGTTGCCTGGTGTCTGTGATGTGGCTGCAGAGAGACGCTGGGCTGGCTGGCACAGAGCGTGGGGCTGTGCACAGGAAACACAGTCAGTCCATGCTGCCTGGCACCCCTTGCCAATGAAACCAGGGTCCTCCATCTGACTGTAGCTGGCACATAGAAAAAAGTATTTTTAAACATCAATTGCAAGGTTTAAGTGTTTTAGACACTGTCAGGACACTCTCTAACCACAGTGCCTCCAAATTTTGAGGCCGTCCCTGTCCTGACACTGCCCAGGCCTTCTCCCCCTCCCCCAGGCCAGGCTCTCCAGTCGACCTTCCCAATTCAATGTCCCACTTCTGGAGAAGAGCAGCAAGTCCTCAGGGCTTTCTGAAGAGAAATAAATGACCCAAAGACACTTCTGAGAGGCTCCTTCCCTCCCTGTCCCACTCTGCTACACAGCACAGCAGGAGCAGCGCTGCACCCGCCCAGCTTGGGCCCAGCGGTGCTGGGGCTCTTCTGCCCCAACAGCAGCAGCTCCAGCCCCAGGAAAGCTGAAATCCAGAGCAAGGCTGAAGCAGCAGCGCTGCTGGGGATCTACATCCTCTCCCCAGGCTGGATGTGTCATGGCCTGCTTGGCTGCGAGAGCTGTGGGATGGGGAAGAGAGACCCAGCCAGGCTGGTGGTCCCCCTTTTTGCCTTCAGAGAAAAATGTTTGGTTTTCTCACCTGGTTTTCTGTTTGGGAAGACATCAGAGCTGGAGCAGGAGAACTCAGGTTGCTTCAGATTCCAGGACATGCTTTCCTTTCCGGGGTTGCTGATTTTAAAACACGCAGTCACCTGCTTGGGCTGCCATGATGCTCCTCCCGACTAGTTGTGAGGGCTAAAAGCACTTTTCAGAAAATCAAAATATTAACCACCCTCCACAGAACTGGTATCTATCAACCTGTAGCACTACAATCAGTTAAAAGTGCAGAACTTCTCTTACAGTCACCTGTTTCATATGTAAAAGGGTTTTTCTTAATTATACAGCAACGTTATATTTTACAATCTTCCAGTAAAGTGTTCATTAATTTAAAGGAAGGCTTTATTTCCAAGATTCATTGAAAACTGCGTGATGAAGTTTAACTTAGTTTCTTTTGTCTACCTGCTGTTAAATCAGGAGAAAGCTTAGGAAACCTAATGATGGATGATACATAGTGAAGTTAGAGAAACAGGCACTAAATACAGACTGATCAGCTGATACATGAATTACCTAGAAGTGAATCAGAACTCCTCCAGTAACTCAGGGTCCTGGACTCAACCTCAAGGGTACTTCTATCCCAAGCATAAATTGCTGAATGGCAGTCACCAAACACACCAACTCAGACATCTTCCTGTGACCACAGAATGACTCCATGTGGGGATACAAAATTTTCATTAACGGAACTGCAAGATGTTTAAATAAACACAACTGTGCGTATTGCGAGGTATAACCTCTCAACTTTGATTCTAAAGAGGAGATGGTGACTCTCTTTTTACCTGTATGAAGCTTTTTTTAAAGTGAGTGTTTACGTTTCAGAAACATGTCTTTGTAAAGTAGAAGCCAACTTTGTAAAGTAGGAGCCAACTTAGCCACAACAGCCTGATGCTAACCACAGGAAAAGCAAGTCTATATATAAACCTTCCTAGTTTTAGGTAGCTGTAAAATTCTCAGCTACTTAAGTAGTTCTCTGATACACTGCCTAACTTACCTTTACTAAGGGTAACCATACCACATTCCAGAGAAATAAAAACAGTTACACAATGGTACATATTTTCCTTTGGCAAAGCAGTTGATTTAACTTCTGTTAATGACACGTGCAGAATAAGATGGAGTGAAATCTAATGTGAGCTTACAGTTATAGCATATTCTCCTCACACTCTGCACCGTCTCGTGCTGTACAGTGCGAAAAGGATGCAGTCCCAGTTCTCTATTTGAGTCTAAGTTTTTAGTCATTCTATAAACTTATTTATTCCACAGCTCAAGAATTAAAGAAGGATCACTGACGTACTTAAGAGTTGTTTCTGTGAGATCTATTCAGTGAAATGCAGTTTCATTACAACAGATGTTTTAAGTTTCATGGGATCCTTCCCCTTCACCTCCAGTGTTACTTAATTATTGTATTATTGGCCTTTTCTTTCTAATTACAAAGAGTGTGCTTTAAATAACTAAGTGTAGCTCAGTGATACAGTTATGTGATTTGCCCTCTGTTGAAATGTAAAAACACACCATGAAAACTTTGAAATTCCAACTGCCATTGTTTATTACTGTTTTGGCTACATTCTCTACAATTTCAGCAGCATCTTAAAGAGACAGTTAACGTTTCTTTATATACAATGAAAACAAAATGGCTTGCAACATCAGAAACAAGAGCAACAGTTTAACTGTACAATACTAAATGAAAACCTGTGGTAATACAGCCTCCTCTTCCTGCAACATGGACAAAATTACATATAGGTATTCAGCATCAAGAACGGGATAGTAAAAAGAATAGTGAACAGGAGAGAGATACACTGTTCTGAAAAATAAGTTTCTACCATACAAGGCAGTTAGAAAATGTTTCACATTTTAAAATGTCTGTACAAGCCACAAGAAACATTTCCTTGTTGATAGGAACTTCCAGAAATAGAGAATAACCATGAGCAACTTCTACATCTAGTATCAATGCGCTCTGCAGGTTGAGAACGCAATAAACTGAGTTAAAGAACTGTACTGTATTTTGCCAACACAGATCTGTTTGACATGCCTTGATTGTTAACAGATTGCCTACTCTCAATCTCTCTGACACGTACAGTTGACTTGCACCTTAAGGAGGTCATTTGATTCTTTTGTAAAAGTAAAAGCAACATCATTTAGCAGCAATTAAAAGCGCCTTGAGGGAGACTTAAAAAAAATACAATATCCAATTAGAAAAAGCCATACTTTAAACATTTGTACAGGAATAAGTTGCTGAAATTTAACCGAAAATGTGACATCTGTACAACAATTTACAATAGAGCTAGAAGGGAATTTATCATTATTCCTGCATAGAACATTATACATGACCTGTTTGCATTTGGTTTCATACTGTTGCTTGCTTTTATGAGAAGCCTGGAAGGTTTCATGAGTTTTGATACTACAATAAGTGTAGTATTTTTAGAAAACTGAACGGATTTCAAAATTAGCAATCTATTTGAAAAGTAAGTACCAGGAATTTCATATCACCCTTCCAATCTAAATTCAGTGAAACACCACCACATTTTTGGAGGTACAAGCCTGAGTTGCCAAACAAAGTACTCCACTTTTATCTGAGAAATCTGATACAGAACATCTTTCACCATCTCCCACTCCTTACTTTGGTTTCAAAAGATCAATGTCTTGGAAAGATGGCAGTTCATTTAGTTTATAACCAGGCACGAAATTTTTCCTGTGTTTTCAAATTTGCTCGCTACCCTTTTTGATTTAAATAATGAAAAACTACCCTTCATGTTAGAACTTTCCAGTATCCACCAAATGTATTTTAAGTATTAAAAAGATTATTTACAATGTTCCCCAGAAAAAAAACTAAAAACCTTTTCTTCAGTCTTAAACACGGTACACCTGTTAGTTTGTAACAGGAAGTGTCATCCTTCAAAGTTTAACGGTGTTTCTCAGAAGGGTACATTTATTCACAGTCCATGATCCATTCCAATCATACAAATGACACTACGTAGGAGGACTTCGGTCTGAAAACACAGTTATCAAACTTGTCCTGTGTAAAAACACTCAAATGCTTTCAAGCTCAAGTCTGCATCAGGAAACTACACAAAGGGATCATCCTATTCCTCGGCTGGAGAAACTTCAGTACGAAATAATGCTTGAAGTAGGTGGCGTAGGGGATGCTGCTAGCCCAGTCATGTGCAAGTTTCCTGAAGAATTCGATCTCCTCATATGAGGGAGAAGATAAGGATCGTTAGCCAGCTGGTGGACATCAAATCTATCCTCTTTTCGGTATGCTAAACAGCGTCTGATAAAGGCCTAGAAAAGACATGTAAAAAGTTACACCACCATTCCAAATACTTACCTCTGCTTTCAGGCAAATATGCAAGTCCTCCTGGATAAACTAGATTTTAAACAAATTCCTGTTATTAAGTTATTCAGTTCAAATGAATTTTACTGCTAAGCCCAATGAAAAAAACGGAACGTCACGGCAGAAAGAAAACATCAGTAAATTAACTGGCTTCAAATAATCACATTTCAAATATCAATTTCCATGTTTAGGAACTACATTTACAAGTAAATGTGCACCTCCCCCAACTGGAATTCTGCATGTGTTATGCCTGAACAGCCTAGTAAAAAAAAAAAGGAGTAAGTTTCAGAGAAATGAAGAAGTAGACCTTTATGATTTCTCTAATGAGCTTCTAAAATCACTGAGCTGAGTGGTGAAACATAGCCAGATTATGCAGGGACAGAATTCCAACGCTTTAGTTGACTTCTGAAAACACAGGCATTTCTACATATGCCATAACGGAGTATAGCAAAAATGAAGAATATTTAAGCAACCATTATCTTGCTGAAACTCTCTTCCCAGGAAAAACTCAATCCCACCTGCTTAGAGTTACCTAATTAATTGAAAAACTGTAGCTAACTTCAGGACTGTTCCTGACTCACTCCGTTATCCTACGTTTAGGTCCATACAGTGTAGGCCAATCATCCTGTGCTGAAAGTTTGTCAAGTCTTATGTCGAGCATACACAGAACATTTGGTCTCCTGAGAGCTTGGGCTTCAACATTTAATGATAGAAAATCCTTATTATTGCTACAGAACTGATTAGCACATTATTACTTAATTTAGAACTTAATTTAAAAGAATTACATATCTCTTCTTTGATAAATCTGTTCAGCTGTTTGTTCTTTGCTCCAATTAAAAACTGGAGATTAAAGGAAAAAAGAAGTGATACAAGTTCCAAAGAATCATCCTAGAATTTCATTTACATATCCAACATGAAAAAGGTACAAAATAAAAATCTGTTAATATAAGTGCACATCTGTTATTATATATTCACGTTCTTGAACATAGAGATTTTAAGCAAATTCTTCAAAATAAATCCTTCATAACAACTGAACTGTTAAGACTTGTTTGCAAGATCCTCAGAGTAACAGTTTGTGTCTAAAATGTTTTTAAAATACTTCATGATTTTGTGGCATTGTAGACCCACTAATGCTAAGCAAAGGAGACC